TTTTTATAAAATGTTTTTTCTTTTTCTTTCACTTCCCTACGAGAAGATGTCATCAGATTGGCGATATCCTATTGTAGAGCAGTGGTCGGACGAGCCCCCATCTAGAGTATTATCTTAATTGATCGTACCTCTGTGGTGCGGCAGGTCACCTGTAGGTGCGTGTAGGTAATCGGTTAGGTTATACGAGGTAACCGCAGGATGTTAGGGGCGTAGTTTTATTGCTAACAGCTTTCACAAGAAGGGCTTTAATAAACAGGACTCACTGGCGTGACTTTGCCTAAGTGAAAAAAAAAAAAATATTTGTTAAAAATAAGTCATTTTTTTGTAATATTTTCTTGAAATTAAAAATATTTTTCTTGAGTTATATTTTCTGTTTTATTTGTATTATTCTTTTGAGTTTATTTGAGTTAATAAACATATCTTTTGTCTATAAATTGTTGGTTATAACCCTTCTTTGTAAGTATTACTATAGCAATAAGTCAACAATATTTTTTCTTATTTATAAACTGTTTTCTTCTATAAAATTATATAAATATATTTCTTAACTACTTAAACACTTAGTCAAGTAAAGTAACTTGTTAACCAAGGGTCTAACAACATTACATTACAATATATATTTTGAGCAAAAATATTTTACATTCTTTATATTTCTAAAACTTATAAAAACTAAAAATATAATACATAGTGCCAAACCACTATAGATGCGTTTTATAATAAATATACATTAAAGTTTTTATTAAAATAAATATAACAACATAACGGGCATGTGTATTACTTTAAAAGTCAGATCCTTTAAACATGGTTCCAAAATAACGCCATGGACATCTCCGTAATTTATACATATATCAATGAAGAATTTGTATATAGTAAATAGGCTCAGGAATTTGCTTTTTATAACGAAATAACGTGCATGATGTACTTAATATTTAGAGTACGCCCATATTAGATTGTTCAGACTCATGCGACTTCAGAGACTTTTCATTGTTTAAACCATGAAAAATCCCTGAAATTGCGTAAACCCACATGAGTATGTTTAAGGGAAAACCTGTCATCGGTCTTTTAATTATATTTGTGTCCAGTTTGTCTTTCAAGTGCCGTCTAGAAAAAATTTATCATCGGACTTTCGATTATATTTTGTAACAAAATATAATCGAAAGCCCGATGATAAATTTTCCTCAGACACAAAATATAATATAATTGAAAGCCCAATGACAGGGTTTCCCTTGAACGCACTAATATACGTTAAGTACATACTACTTTAATAAACTATACTACACATTTGAAACAATTCGCTTAACCGTCTTACGGTAAAATTATCATGATGGATCTGTAATCGAGTTATCAAACATATCACATCTAATTTTATACTATGATAATGATAAAGGTTTTAAAAATAAATTTTATTAGACAAATATAAATTATTAGCTAGAAAATATTAAGAAGATAATTTTGCATAATTGAAGTTTATTTTACAAAATAATAAATAAAGGCTAGATTATTTAAGTTTACACAAAATTTATTGCATAAAGCAAGCAGATGATTTTATAATAAGCATAATAATGAACAAAGATAATACATATATATTACCAAATAAGAAGTTCTAATCTAGCCAAATTTTTTCCACTAGCATCACTTTTTGCCATTTCCCAACAGTCATCACCTTTTAATGCAACGACATCACCATGTTTATTTCTAAATCTGAGATTGACATTATCCATAGCCAGACTAAACCTTGACTCAAGAACAAGTAGTAATTTGTGATAAGAAGAATCCATTGGAACAGCGATAGCACGTCGTTCGGTAGGGAATACACAAGTTATGTATAACTTTTATAATTCAAATAAGTATAATTGTGAGAAATAAAAATAAAAATTTAATCGAATAAAAAGTAAAATATAATAAATACTTTTTGTCTGTTATCTTTAGCGAGTTCATTACGAACACCATTTTTATTAAACCATAATCTTTCAATTTCGGACTCAATTTTGGGCAATTTTGAGGAATCTTCGGAAGCATCAGGGATCAAGGTGAGAGAACGTAAACTAGTAAATTTTCCACCTGATGGGTCCGTTTGCAAAATTGTAGGATCTAGAAGATACGGATATCCACCAAGATGGCGGTAGTACTAAATTAATAGTAAAAAGAGTTTAATTAACATGATAATAATTAATAATAATATAGGTAATGATAATAATATAGTAATAAAAATAGTAATTATTATTAATAACATACGGTTCTTTTAAAATTTTGTTTAAATTTTATAATAATTTTGTCTTCAGAAGTAACTTTAAATCCACATAATTGATTAAATGGGATAGAAACTTCATCAGACATTCCATTAAGACAGCAAGAAATTTCACCACCACCATTTAGATTCAAATCATCACCAACTTTATAGAGAAATGCCACATCACCTCGATAATTGGCATTTATGATAGTTGAATAAGCATCATTCGTATAACCAAACTGACATTGAGAAATATCAACTTTTGATAAAATCAGCGGTTGTGTAGAAGTTGTAATAGTTGAAGAAGGAGAAGAAGATAGAGTTGCAGAAGAAGGAGGTTTTGAAGTAGATAAAGATGTAAGATATTCAAGAGAAGTCGAAGATATTGCAGAAATAGTTGGTAAATTTTTCAATTGGGTAGAAGGGGTATACACCGAATCAAAATTATGATGGATATTATTTTGAGGGGAAATAGAATCATCGATAAGCAAAGTAGAAGAATCACACCAAAACGATATTGGATCACTCATTAAATCTGATAATGAAGATAAGTTGATATCGACATTGTTATGAGAAAAATTCTTTGTTTCATCTGCATTATAGATAGGTTGTATAATGGGAGATGTAGGTGGGGTTACTTTTTTTAAAAATTGCCGATTTTAAAAAAGTTGATAGATAAAAGATTTTGATTAGTTTGATTAAAGTCAGTATAACAAAGATCTGAAAAGCCATTTATCAAAAAAAAAAAAACTTTTTTTACCGTAATATGAAGTAACGCTATTATTATCGTTGTCCCAATCTTCATAATTTTGTTCCATTTTCTTTATTGATTAAAAGAAAATAAAGAAATTGAAAAGAAGAGAACAAAATTTATACGTGTAAAAATTTGTAATGACGTGTAATCAAAATACATTAATATACAGTAAGTAGATTAACAAGATTAAACCAGTTTTTGGATCTACTTAAATCTACTTAACAATGTAATCAATCTATATCGATATAACGATAAACGATAACGAAAAATGATAAATGATTATATACAGTAAATATACAGTATATATATAAAGTAGAATAAGATAATACAAAATTGTTCAAATTGTTAAAAATGATGTTAAGATCCGAGAAATGATTATAGATCACCTTAATGCCTGAATATACACATTTCTCATTAATAAAATGAATGCAATTAACGGAACTATGGAGACTGGCATCACGTGATTAGGTTAGTTGAGATCAAATCGCATATGTCTGTGTATTTCGCGTATCAAGTTATCAAGCGCGAAAGTATTCAGGTGTACGTGTGTACTGTAGTTCCTATTGGTCGCAGTTGTCGCAGGTGTGGTCAGGTGTAGAGTGGACGGGGAAATGTGATGTGCATATATGTGCATATGTGACATGTTTTTCGTGAATCATATGTGAACATAAGTGCGTGCAGTATATAGATTTCATTCAAATTCTTTGCCAAAAGAAGGCATTAATATTTATTTTAATAAATCGAAACT